ACAAATGTTTGAAAACACTTTTATGAAAATAGACGAAGGCTACAAGCGATCTTTAACCATACATACGAAGTACATTGGGCTACAAAATGGTGAGTTGACAACCTGGAAGGAGCGGAATACCTAGCCCTGGTCCTCACAAGTTCCTACTTCACGCCTCCTCGAGTCATATGATAACAAAAGACTACCAGCTGAAACATGGACACAGCTGGTTGGCGTAGCCTGGGCAATGTTGCCAGTCCGGCAATAGCAAAGTGAAGAGGTGCGACGCGAACACTGGCGCGGTAACCATAGTACGGTGATAGAGGAAATGCTTCACCAAACCTGAGCGTCTGCTCACCATGGAGGTGCGGCTCAAAACGGCGTCTGTTCTCCATGTTAGGAGCGGCTGATCACCGTCCTAGTGCCAGCGTGGGACTCTAAACAGAGCTGTGCACGATGGTCCCCCGGCGAGACAGGGGGTTGGGGCAGGCCCAACAAGCCGCCCTGGAAAAAAAACAAAGTTGCAAATACCGAAGAAAGAAATACGGATCGGAACAATCGGCACAGACCTACGCGACGAAATAAGGACTACGATTGGAAACTCGGAACATGGAACTGCAAATCGCTCGGCTTCCCGGGTTGCGATAGGTTAATCTATGACGAACTTCAACCACGCAACTTCGAAGTCGTAGCACTGCAGGAACTTTGCTGGACGGGACAAAAGGTATGGAAAAGCGGGCATCGAGCGGCTACTTTCTACCAGAGCTGTGGCACCACCAACGAGCTGGGAACCGGCTTTGTAGTGCTGGGTAAGATGCGCCAACGCGTGATTGGTTGGCAGCCGATCAACGCGAGGATGTGCAAGTTGAGGATTAAGGGCCGTTTCTTCAACTACAGCATCATCAACGTGCACTGCCCACACGAAGGGAGACCCGACGACGAGAAAGAAGCGTTCTATGCGCAGCTGGAGCAGGTGTACGACGGCTGTTCGCAACGGGACGTCAAAATCGTCATCGGCGACATGAACGCTCAGGTAGGACGGGAGGCAATGTATAGACCGGCAATCGGGCCAAACAGCCTGCATGCCGTATCGAACGACAACGGCCAACGATGCGTGAACTTTGCAGCCTCCCGGGGTATGGTAGTTCGAAGTACCTTTTTCCCCCGCAAGGATATCCACAAAGCCACCTGGAGATCACCTGACCAACACACAGAAAACCAAATCGATCACGTTCTAATCGACGGGAAATTCTTCTCCGACATTATCAACGTCCGCACGTACCGCAGTGCGAACATAGATTCGGACCACTACCTAGTTGCAGTATGCATGCGCTCAAAACTCTCGACGGTGCATAACACACGTCGAAGTCGAACGCCACGACCCAACATTGAGCAACTACGGGACACCGGAGTTGCCCAGGACTACGCGCAGCAGCTGGAAGTTGCACTACCCACGGAAGAGCAGCTTGGCGCAGCTTCTCTTGAAGATGGCTGGAGGGACATCCGTTCAGCCATAGGTAGTACTGCTGTAGCGGCACTAGGTACTGCAATCCCGGACCGAAGAAATGACTGGTTTGACGGCGAATGCAAACTGTTAGTAGAGGAGAAGAATGCAGCACGGGCGAGAATGCTGCAACACCGCACGAGATTGAATGTGGAGCGATACAGACAAGCGCGGAACAGACAAAACTCGGTTTTCCGAAGGAAGAAGCGTCAGCAGGAAGATCGAGATCGCGAGGCGATGGAAAATCTGTACCGCGTAAACGACACACGGAAGTTCTACGAGAAGCTAAATAGTTCGCGCAAAGGCTACGTGCCGCAAGCCGATATGTGCAAGGACTTGGACGGTAACCTTCTCACGAACGAGTGTGAGGTGATTGAGAGGTGGAAGCAGTACTATGACGAGCACCTCAACGGTGAAGCAGCAGAAAACGAAGGTGGCACGGCAACAGACCTTGGAGCACGCGCAGAAGACGACAGGCTACCGGCCCCTGATCTTCAAGAAGTTGAGGAGGAGATCGGTCGGCTGAAGAACAACAAAGCAACTGGTGTAGATCAACTACCAAGTGAGCTATTGAAATACGGTGGTGAAGCACTGGCTAGAGCGCTGCACTGGGTAATTGCCAAGATTTGGGAGGAGGAGATATTACCGGAGGAGTGGATGGAAGGTGTCGTATGCCCAATCTACAAAAAGGGCGACAAGTTGGATTGCTGCAACTACCGCGCGATCACACTGCTGAGCGCCGCCTACAAGGTACTCTCCCAAATTCTATGCCGCCGTCTGTCACCATATGCAAGAGAGTTCGTGGGGCAATACCAGGCGGGATTCATGGGTGCCCGCGCTACCACGGACCAAATTTTCGCGATTCGGCAGGTTCTGCAGAAATGCCGCGAATACAACGTGCCCACACATCATTTGTTCATCGATTTCAAATCCGCATACGACACAATCGATCGAGATCAGCTATGGCAGATTATGCACGAGTACGGATTTCCGGATAAACTGACGCGATTGGTCAAGGCGACGATGGATCGAGTGACGTGCGTTGTTCGAGTATCGGGGACACTCTCGAGTCCCTTTGAATCTCGAAGGGGGTTACGGCAGGGTGATGGACTTTCGTGTCTGCTGTTCAACATCGCGTTAGAAGGTGTGATCAGAAGAGCTGGGATAGACACGAGTGGCACGATATTCAGGAAGTCCATCCAGCTCCTTGGTTTCGCCGATGACATTGACATTATGGCACGGAACTTTGAGATGATGGCGGAAACGTACATCAGACTGAAGGCTGAAGCTAGACGGATTGGACTTGCCATCAACGCATCAAAGACAAAATATATGAAAGCAAGAGGTTCTAGGGAAGACAATGTTAGCCTCCCACCCCGAGTTCAGATTGACGGTGACGAAATCGAGGTGGTCGATGAGTTCGTGTATTTGGGCTCACTGGTGACCGCCGAAAATGATACCAGCAGAGAAATTCAAAGACGCATTATGGCAGGGAATCGTGCCTACTTTGGACTCCGGAGGACGCTCCGGTCGAATAAAATTCGCCGCCGCACGAAGTTGACTGTCTACAAGACGCTGATTAGACCGGTGGTCCTTTACGGCCACGAGACCTGGACTATGCTCGTGGAGGACCAACGCGCCCTTGGTGTTTTCGAACGGAAGGTGTTGCGTACCATCTACGGTGGAGTGCAGATGGATGACGGAACGTGGAGGAGGCGAATGAACCACGAATTGCACCAGCTGCTGGGAGAACCATCCATCGTCCACATTGCAAAAATTGGGCGACTACGGTGGGCTGGGCACGTCGTAAGAATGCCGCACGACGACCCAGTGAAAATGGTTCTAGAAAGCGACCCAACAGGAACAAGAAGAAGAGGCGCGCAGCGGGCAAGGTGGATCGACCAAGTAGAAGGCGACCTGCGGACCCTTCGCAGACTACGAGGCTGGCGAACTGTGGCCATGGATCGAGTAGAGTGGAGACGACTTCTTCGGACAGCAGAGGACAACAAGGCCTTAGCCTGATTGGTAAGGTAAGGTACGAAGGACATTGTGATCATAACCAAGTGTACTCCTAATAGCTACGATAAATTTACATATTTTAAGATATGTTAAGATATTTTAATTAAATTTATGTGTTGGCCCAATGTCAGCCGCCATAAGGTTTTACATTGGTCTATTTTTTAATTAATTTTAGTAAAATGAGCTTTCAATTTCAATCAACCATTTCCATGACAGTCGTAGATATATCATTGATGAATATATTCACATGCTTAACATTGTTTTCCTTGCTAAAATGTGAACGTTGTTAGGTAGGGAACGAATTTTTTTGATTTGGATCGCTCCCCCATACATTTTGTCGATTTTCCCCATACAAACTTCAAGCCGTTTGAGCGAGGGGTTCCCGTGAACCAAATGACTTCAAATTTTGGCAGGATGATTCTGACCCCCAAAACTACCATTCCAGAGGGTAGCGTTTGAAATTCCAGACTTTGACTTTTTCCATATAACGCTGAAACACTCTAATATACACTTTAAAACATTAATCTTTTAAACTATAATATATCGCTGAAAATCTCTAATCCAGCAATTAGGGTTCACCTTAAGTTAAGCCACATTCTCCCGTAGTTGCAATATCATAGCCATGCTTCCATAAGAACGTTCAGCACATGTTCAATCCTGTCCGTGAGAAAACACACAGATCAAACGAAACAAAAATTGATGCATCAACTTCGGTGATTAGGGGAAACGGACTTGGATTCCGAGAACTAAACGCAATACAATGACATTCAAAAAGCGAAGATGTTCAAATCGCTACTCCCTTTGCAGCCGAAGGTAAATATTTGTTGATTGTCCGTGAAATTATCGGTTTTCTCAAGGTTCTCAGGCCCCCTGGTTCCACCCCGAGAGAAGGTATCATTCATACTTGATCAGTTATATTTTTCTTTCCATTTGCTTCACACCCCAATTCGGGTACCTACATTCATTCATACTTATTCAAATGCTATGCTAAATTCGGTAGTCATTCATGGCACAAGAGTATACGCTCATTGAGGAAGGGGGGGGGGGGGTAAATCTTCCCAGAAAATAATCGTTCTCATCATATCTCTTACCACCATAGTCTCCATCGTCGTAGAGGGCCGGAATGTGAGGCATCGGCCAGATGGGTTCTTCTGAGTAGACCATCATTTTGGCACCCGTTTGATGTTTCCGACAGATGCGCGCTGGCGAAGGAAGTACTTTAACACTTTCGATAATAGTTCAATCCACGCGATTTTAGCACTACTGCTCTGCTCTGTTCGTCCCACAGAGATCAACACACTCACTAATACCAGCTTTGTCTGTACGTCTTTGTTTGTTGATTTTTTCCGTATACTTCCTGATCTTTTCTCTTCGATTGCTCTCTCTGTGTATTTTTTTTATTATTTTTTTTCTGTGTGCCGTTTTATTTTTTGTTTTGATAATGCTACCACTCAGCCACAGATGACCGACCGTTCGAATCACGTTGAACAAAAAAAAAAAAAAGAGAGCCCGACCCCTAGCAATAGTCCAATCGGAGAGGGCCAATCGGTTCTCAAATTTCACCAAAAAGTTTTCTGTTTCACGTCTGCTGCTATATCGTTGCCGTTTGAGTTTCGTTAATAGCCACAGTCAGTAGGAGTTGTAGCATTAACAGTTGTAGTAGTTGTAGCAGCAGCAACGGCAGCCACAGAGCAGCAGCACCAGGGGTATTGGTAATCCCTTTTCCGCCTTCGCTTTTTCTTCTGTTCCTCCTTCAATGGTTCATTCAGAAGATTAACGCTTTCCGGATAAATCATCACACGAGATGCGAAACGGCTTCTCTTCCCTTCTCATGTGTCACGCTGCTGTTGCTCCACTTGCTTCTTTCTCCTTGGTTCCAACCCAGCAGCAGCAGCAGCAGCGGCAATTCAAGGGGTTCGTTTCTTTGCCGCAACAAGTCTCCACTCACTAACCAACGGCGACGGCGACGGCGACGATGCTAAATCGATGACGATGATCCCCCTAGAGAGACCCAACGCGCACCGAACACTACTGGAAGCTGGTTTCTCCCGGGCTTCCTTTATGGTAATTTTTCTTCTCTAAGGTTCTTAAGGTTTATTTTTTTCTCTGTTGTCGTGTTTGTTCTTTTAGCTTCGCACGGTACACTGAAAGACACACACCGGGGAAAGAAACTAAATTGAAAAATAAAATAATTGGTTGCATGAGAAGTGGATTTTTTTTCGCTTTTTTCTCGTTCTCTCCCCCTCAATATGCGCCTATGTAGGTAGATCTGAAACGATCGCGCGCGCGCTCGTACTGAGGAGAGAGCCCAACACCCGCTTCCAGAGTCGAACTTGAATGTATTCTGGCGTTTTTACGGTTTAATTGATCTCTTTACTCGTCGTCGACCTGTGCTGTGGCCCTAAGGGGGATGAAGAGGATTTGTTGTGTCCCGTCTCTTCACCTCCCTTCTTCTTGGACCTATGCTATGGGTCTCGAGGTGGAGAAGAGGAAGATCGGGATTAAATACAATGCATACGCGCGAGGTGGAAGATATGGTAACAGTCAGAGTTTGAGTGTTCCATTTGTGAGGTTTTTTTTTTCCCCTACGTATTTCCTTAGCGCCGATCATAGCCGGAGATCAATAATGAGGGATGTGGCTGTAAAAAAGTGATGATTTTATTTCTGTTCCTGTGGCTGTGCGGTAATTATTTGCTTTTCTAGGAATTTGCTTTCGGAGGATTGAGTTGGTTGAAGAATGGCTTCCTTCAGCACGGTTGAATTCCAGATAGGAATCAAGCAAATCATATAATTTTTTTATTTGGTGCATTGAAAAAATCATAGAAATCTTGTGCTATATATCATTGTGAACTCCCCGCAAGATTATGCACCCTTCTTGTATTAAACGTCAAACATTTAGTGGAAATGCCGGCTTTGGCAATACCTTTAGTCTGCTATCGTCAGGGAATAAACATAGATCTCTGAAACATGACGCATCCTGATGCAAAAAATGAGCACTCAAAGACTTCTTTTACCTCCTGAAGTATTGACGAAGCCATTATTTACCCTAGGAGACATTTTGACTTTTAGATAACACATTTTTGGTATTAATTCAAATCAGCATAATTTTTATCTATGGGGCCGTTCATAATCCACGTAGACCAAAGTTTGAATCTTTTCAACCCCCTCCCCCTCTCCCTTTCTCTCTCGTAGACTATAGTAAACTTTTCTGATACTCCTCCTCCTTCCCCTTAAAGTATACAAAGACTTTACTAAACACGAAAAAACAATTCAAAATCGTTGTATTGTCTCAGATTATATTGTATTCATCATTCTAAATTATATTCAATATTAATAAATGAATATTAGTTTCCCTGGCTTGTTTGTAGGCACCCTTTAAACTTATATTTAGATCAGCGTTTCGTGAACTTGATGAACACTCTAAGCTACGATTAGTATTTTTTACCGATAAAAATCGTTACTTTTTACTTTAAATAGGCTATTTTTTACTATAAATTAGGTAATTTTTATCGTTAATTATTGGTAATCCATGATAACCGGTAATTTAAGCATGTGCACTTTCTTCGATTATCAGTAATTTTTACCGATATCTAGGTAATCTTTACCAACTTTAAGGTATGTGCATCTTAGCGTAAAGATTGGAGAACTTCATGACAGTTCCAATAAACTTCAAGAACATTTCAGGAACTTTACAGGTACTTCAAGAAAACTTCTGGTAAATTTAAAGGTCTTTGGAAAAGGTCAGAGAGCTTCTGGAAAATTCTGATAACTTTAAGGCAGTTCCATGAAAATTCGAAAAATTGTTTTAACTTTTAGGAAATTCCTAAATCTTCAGGCTAAAATTTTTTAGGATTTAACAAAACGGCAGGAACTTTATAGATGTTACAAGAAAAACACGGAAAACTTATAGATAGTCTGGAGTGCTGAAGAAAACTGCGGATCTTCAATACAGTTCCGAGAATTTCAAGAACATTTTGAAAATTATATGTTAGTTCCACTAACATGGCTTTTGTTTAATTTTATTGCGGAAGCCTCCAAATAGTTCTGAAAAATTCAAGAAAGATAAAAACCATCAGTGTAGCTCTGGGACCTTAAAGAACGTCCAGAACTACGGGGAAGTTTTAAGATCAGAAATTAAGAAGGAATTCAATAAATTCATGTAAATTTCAGGAACTTTACAGGGGTGTCTAAGACATCGTTTTAAAAACCTTACGGGAAGTATCGTGAACTTTGAGGCAGTTCTGAGAATTTCAAAGTAGTTCCATGAATATCAGGAAAATTACGGGAATGTCGCAAACATTGTGAGAGCTTAAGATAAATTTCCAGAGTAGGGGGCGACCCCGGCGTAGTGGTTAGCATCAATACCTCTCACGCCAATGTCACGAGTTCAAATCACACCCCCGGACAAGCCACGAATGACCCAAGAGCGTTAAAGTGACTATAATAAGAAAAAAAAGAAAAAAATCCAGAGCGATATTAAGAAATTTAAAAAATTGGAGCTGAAAAAAATTTGAGAAAAATTCCGAAAACATCATTGAACATCAGAACATCAGATCAATTTAATTGATTCAGGGCTATTCCAAAAACATCGTCATCAGAATATCGTGAAGTTTAGGAAAGTAATTACATTTTTTAGAAACTTTCAAGTAGATCCGAGGATTTTGGCAAAGACTCATGAACATGCTGCAGCATAATAATTTCTTTAAAACTTTCCTCCACTTCAGGGAAGCTTCGAAAACTTCAAGGCGATTTAATCAGATTCAAGAAAACTTCAGGAAATTCTAAGAAATACAGGGAAATTACAAGAACCTCAGACAACCTAGCTCTTCAGATAAGTCCCAATAATTTCAGGACAGCATTTCGGGGAAGTTTAAAGATCTGTAAGGGTTAGTTACAATTAGTTCTGGACTGCTTCATGAAATCCAGGAAATTTTTCTAAAAGCCTTGAAAAAAAACAGGAAATTTCAGGAAGTTCAGACAACATTGGAAAAATTTAGAAAACTTCATACATATTTTAAGAACTCTACAGAAGTATAGAAATGTTCAGGGAAATCTTCAGGTGAAGAACTTCATGACAATTTTACGAACTCCCGCATAGCTTGGAATCTCAGTTCAGTTCAATTAACTTAACTAGAAGTTCAGGGAATTTCTAAAAACTAAAGTTCTGAGATCCTCAGGGAAGTCCACAGAATTTAAGAGAAGTTTTGAAATGTTTAGGCAATTTAATAATTCTCATGGATGTCTAGATTACTTGAGGACGGTCAGAGAAGTTCACAGTAGTTCCATTAATTAGTTGCTGAAACTCCCAGGTAGCGACGCAGGTGGTGTAGTGGTAAACGTGATTATCTCTCACCCCAGCAGGCCCGTCAGCATACAGGCCCATTTGTTTGCTGGACACTACTGGTAAACTGCTTGAGAGGGTCATCCTCAACAGGTTGTTGGCTTACACCGAAGGTGTAGACGGCCTGTCAAGCAGCCAGTATGGGTTCCGTAAGGAAGATCCACGGTGGAAGCCATCCGCGACGTCATCCAGACGGCAGAGGTGGTCCACCGGAAGCGAAGGGGCATTCGTTACTGCGTGGTTCTTCTTCTTCTTCTTCTTCTTCTTTGCATTTCAAGCTTATTGCTTATGGCATATTAGCTTATTGCGTGCTCTCAACTTAGTGTTCTAGATGCACTTCCACAGTTATTAATTGAGAGCTTTCGATGCCTGCTACCATTTTTGCATTAGTATAATTGTGTGGCAAGGCAAGTACAATCATACTCTATGCCCAGGGAGTCGATAAATTTTCCAACCTGAAAGATTCATAGACCGGACCGGGAATCGAACTCAGTCACCTCCAGCATGGTCTTGCTTTGTAGCTGCGCCTTTACCGACTGAGCTAAGGAAGGCCCCCGTTACTGCGTGGTGGTAACCTTAGATGTGAAGAACGTGTTCAACAGCGCGTGCTGGGGGGCGATAGCCCGCTCGCTACACCAGCTCCAAATTCCCGGAGGGCTGTAAAAGATTCTGGAAAACTATTCCAGAATCGTGTGTTGACGTACGACACAGAAGATGGTGAAAAATGCGTAAGAGTCACCGATTGCCACAACGCTCCATCCTGGGCCCGGTGTTATGGAACGTCATGTACGATGGATTGTTGAGGATAAGATTCCTGGTAGGCGTGAAAATTGTAGGTTTTGCCGACGATGTCACGCTGGTAGTCTACGGGGAAACTCTCGAGGAGGTAGAGCTGACAGCGGCCCACTGCGTCAAGATTGTGGAGGAATGGATGAGATCCAGGAAGCTGGAGCTTGCCCATCACAAGACGGAAGTGGTCGTAGTCAACACTCGCATGTCGGTACAGCATGCGACGTTGACAGTCGGCGGAAGCACAATTAGGTCTGTGCGCTCTCTGAAACTCTTGGGGGCTATGCTCGACGATAAGCTCAGCTTCGGCTGCCACGTCGAGTACGCCTGCAAGAGAGCGTCTACGGCTGTGGGGGCATTATCCTGCATGATGTCAAACAGCTCAGCAGTGAATGCCAGTAAGCGCAGGCTCCTCGCTGGGGTCGTAGTATCTTTCCTCAGGTACGGCGGCCCTGCGTGGGCTGCGGTACTGGATATTGACTGTCGCAGGCGGAAATTAGCGAGTACACACAGGTTATGTGCTTGAGGGTGGCCAGTGCATACCGCACCATCTCGAGGGAGTCCGTCTGTGTCATAGCAGGGATGATGCCAATCAGCCTCATCATTAAGGAGGACGTGGTGTGCTATGACACGAGGACCGTTCGAGGGGTGCGCAACAACGCGCGAGCTGTGTCGACCGCGAGATGGCAATCGGAGTGGGAAAACTCCACAAAGGGGAGGTGGACTTACCGCTTGATACCTTCCGTATCATGCTGGGTCAACAGGCGCCACGGGGAAGTAAACTTCTACCTGACACAGTTCCTGTCAGGCCATGGCTGCTTTAGGAGCTACTTGCATAGGTTCGGACATGCAAGTACTCCCATCTGCCGTTGTGTTCGCCTGTCCACACTTCGAGCGAGTATCGAGCGCTATGCTAGCGATATGCGGAGCGGATACCAGTCCGGATAACATCGTCCCTAGGATGTTTGGTACTACCGAGAACTGGAGTGCGGTGGTGACTGCGGTCACCCACATAGTTTCGGAACTACAACGACAGTGGCG